GGCGCGACCGAGAGCGACCCTAACCTCTTTGTTGCACTTTATGACTTTGTTGCTAGTGGAGACAACACACTCAGCATCACCAAAGGTAAACCCAAGTCTGAATTTGGAGGGGGAAAAATTGAATAACCTCTTTAGATGGTTCATACTTTCTTACAAACTCTCTCACAACCTCTGGTTTCACAAAAACTTCATTCTTTCTGTGCATCATCGCTAAACATTGTTGTCTGGTTACAACTGAGCGCTTGAGATTTTTTTCCACATCATTGATCATTATACCCACACCTTTCTAAACAGCACGTGTTGCAACAGAGCGCAGGGATCAAGTTAGCACCACCTGGAAAGGTGTCGTCCGGTTATTCCAAAGGAATGTTCTGTGTCAACAGAGCTTATCTCATGACATCATCAATAACCTGATCCTCAGACACCCACATATGACCAGCTGAGGTTTTATGGGCTATAGTTTCCACACTGAATAATACCTGAAACACCAGTGATGCTCATGCTTTGCCATAATTACAAATATCTTATTCGCTCTGCCTCTTAATGCACACACTCTTTTAGTCCAGACCTCTTTTCTCTCATTCAGCAGCACTTAACCACTCATCCAGTTCTCCCCTGGGCAATAAGCTTAAATTATCCTCGTAATATTTTTCAGACATCCAGGCTTCTGTCACCATCCAGTCTAATGTGTTTAATGTGGCAGCGCGTTAATTATCCATCGTTTTAAGACTTCCATGGCAGCTGCCTGGGATGGAAATGATGTTTAGACCCTGACTCATGGAGTAAATCTGAGATTCCTGCCCACATGCATGCACATGTGCGCTCCCAGGCTCCACTTCTCTCTTGCTATCTGTCCCACTCTTTGCTCTGTTGCATGGAAAACACCCAGCGGGCCTTTAATGTTGTGTTAATATGAAATCGGCTTGACTGTAATAATAACAGGTGGACGGGCGCAGCAGGCGGACGCCGGTCACAGAAGGGGTCTTAACAGGCCATGTCTGGGGCTAATCGTTGTCTCTTCTCTGCGCCAGACCTGGCTCGACTAGGCCAGACCAAAGCCCTGCTTCAGGCACATGTGGCTCCCAGTGTGAGGCAGCAAGACAGTCAGTGTTTCCACTCCCACAAAACCTAGGGGCACACAAGGCAGACTCAGAGGAGACCAGTGGATTGGTGGGCTGGATATGGATAACCATCTTTGTTTAATGTAGTTCTCCTGTTTGCTAGTACACTGTTTAGTTTTACGAGCTAGCCCTGCAGCACTGGTTAGTTGAATGTTAATATGGCTCTAACAGCACTCACTGCAGCTATTTTAGTTAAGTGTTTATTGGACTGTAGTGCTTAATATGAACAGCCTATTACAGAATCATTGTATCTAACTAATGATAGCCCAACACTATGTTCAATCAACTTTAAGCCTGTGTTTAAAAATGACAGCAGCAGTGCAGGAGGCAGCAGGGTCGTCTTGCAGTGATGTTCCTGTTTTGCCAAAGCAGAGTCAGAACAGTCTGTGTATTTCTATCCTGCACGCTGTGATAGAAGATAAGCTTTGCAAAATCTTGTTTGTGAGTTTTATAAACTTTTGTCCTCTTTCATCTGCTTCTCCATTCGACCTCCTGCTTCCAATTTTGCACCAGCAAAGCCCCTCGCTTTATTTTAATGCCCCCTACAGACCAACACGATGAAAGATGCTGAAAGGTTAATGGATTAGTGAGTAAACTTGGCGTTTTAGTGGAGGGTGAGTGTAAAAGATGGATGGCCTTAATATCTTCTTCCTTTTATTTTCTTCTACAATCACACCTAACCTACATCTACCCTCTTTTTTTCCACACTGAGCTATTTTCTTTTCCTAAACCTTGTTCCCACTGGCAAGTCTGATCACCGCTCCTTTCAGTGTTTTGCTGTGCCTCCCTGTTAAAGTATCCAGCACATCTCCGCTCCCTCTCTCGCGCTGACGTCAGAGGCAGACAGATAGAGACAACACACCAAGTCAGTACAGGCCTAGTTTTGCCCGGCCCTCCGTGACAGATATGATGTGCACCCAACCCTTTTATTGTTCCATTGCTTTTGATGTAATTTCACTGAGGGGCGAGTCATGCCCATGAAACCTCTTTTTTCTGTTTGACCTGTTATCCAAGTCTTACAGCAATGTAGTGTCTATTTGAACTAGTTGTCTTTCATGTTGTGTAACAAAACAGACAACAAATCAATTAAAACAGGATTGTCTACATACCGATCGGCACCTTTTAATATGTTTGCACAACCCACTCCTTCTGTGTTCAGGTGAGAAGCTGCGTGTGCTGGGCTACAACCAGAATGGAGAGTGGAGTGAAGTGAGGTCTAAAAACGGTCAGGGATGGGTTCCCTCCAACTACATCACGCCGGTCAACAGCCTGGAGAAGCATAGCTGGTACCACGGGCCCGTTTCCCGCAGCGCTGCAGAGTATCTGCTCTCATCACTTATCAATGGCAGTTTTCTGGTGCGAGAAAGCGAGAGCAGCCCCGGACAGCTGTCCATATCTCTGCGCTATGAGGGCAGAGTGTACCACTACCGGATCAACACAGCCACGGATGGAAAGGTAGAAGGATTGGGTTTAAATGATTAAACGGGCTCACTAGAGTGATGTTTTCTGGACAGACTGTTCATAATCTTGACTTTTTGACTTCATGCTTCCTCCCCATCAGGTGTACGTAACGTCCGAAAGCCGATTCGCCACTCTGGCCGAGCTGGTCCATCACCACTCCACTGTACCTGATGGTCTGGTCACCACGCTGCACTACCCTGCACCCAAATGTAACAAGCCTACGGTGTACGGTGTGTCACCCATCCATGATAAGTGGGAGATGGAGCGCACAGACATCACCATGAAGCACAAGCTGGGAGGAGGCCAGTATGGGGAGGTGTATGTCGGAGTGTGGAAAAAGTACAACCTCACTGTGGCTGTCAAAACACTAAAGGTGCGTGGAGTTATTTCTACATGTTGACTATTTGTTTATCTGAGATTGCAGCTGTAAAGTGTCACATTTACATATTTGCAGCTGTGAATTATAGGGCCCAAAAAATGATCAGAGATCACCACCTGCAGGTGGACAGTGGTATTACACGTGATTAAGCCTATTGTTGCTGCACCATTTCTGTCCAACCCACTGATTTTAACAAAAATGTTTTCTTTTGTTTCTATTTGTGCAATGACAGGAAGACACCATGGAAGTAGAGGAGTTTTTGAAAGAGGCAGCAGTTATGAAAGAGGTCAAACACCCAAACCTCGTTCAGCTGCTGGGTCAGTATTTATAAATGCTGCTAAACCTTTTTTTTTTTTTCCATTTTGAGTATAACTTTTAATTTTCCGTGCCTTTTTAAAAACATACTTGTTCACGTTTCCTTGAGTATTTATTTTAAACCAGTCTGTCCCCCACAGGTGTGTGTACGTTAGAGCCTCCATTCTACATTGTGACCGAGTATATGCCACATGGCAACCTACTGGACTACTTGAGAGAGTGTGAACGCGATGAGGTGAATGCTGTTGCGCTGCTATACATGGCAACGCAGATCTCCTCTGCCATGGAGTATCTGGAGAAAAAGAACTTTATACACAGGTGTGTTTATGCTGCTTCTTTTACTTGTGTAATATTTCACTTGTCGTTTTCTAAACGTCCAATTTCGTTGTTTTCTTTACCTCTCAGGGATCTCGCAGCAAGGAACTGCCTGGTCGGTGAAAATCATGTCGTGAAGGTTGCCGATTTCGGCCTGAGCCGGTTGATGACCGGTGACACCTACACCGCCCACGCTGGGGCCAAGTTCCCCATCAAATGGACCGCACCGGAGAGCCTCGCCTACAACACCTTCTCCATCAAGTCTGATGTCTGGGGTGAGCAGTGCAGCTTTTCCAGCATCGTTTTGCCGTCTCGAATAAATTTTCAGCGTGCTCATCTTTGATCCTCTGAACTCGTTTCTCCGACAGCTTTTGGAGTGCTACTTTGGGAAATTGCCACTTATGGCATGTCTCCCTACCCGGGTATCGATTTGTCTCAGGTCTACGATCTCTTGGAGAAAGGCTATCGCATGGAGCAACCTGAGGGATGCCCGCCCAAAGTTTATGAACTGATGAGGGCATGTGAGTGCATGTTTTTTTTACCTGCCTGTTGCTGCACCACATTTCAGAGACACGCAGGAAGTGCTTGTCTGTACATGTTTGAATGAAGTGAAACAGTAATTATGTGTAAATTTGCATAGCGTCTTTCAAGAAATACAAAAGAGCATAAATAAACCAAAGTAAACAAAGATTGACGGCTTGATAACCGATTTGAAGTCGAATGCTATTGTCTCATTGCTTTCATGTATAAAACCTTTCTCGTCTTTGTTTGTGTCATGCTGTTAGGCTGGCAGTGGAGCCCGTTGGATCGACCTTCGTTTGCAGAGATCCACCAAGCCTTCGAAACGATGTTTCACGGCTCGAGCATTTCTGAAGGTACAGGAACGTGCAGCTTATGACATGTAGCCTCTAAACCTGCCTTCACTGTGACTCTGAAATACATGCAAACTGGGTCTTATTTAGCCTTTAGTAACACAGCTTTAGGTAATTCAGTTAAATATGTGAGAGTAGAGAAAGAACAAGTGAACATATACAAACAGGAGTTTAACAAACGGTGGAATCTTTTTGTCACTCTACTATATTCAGGTTTAATTGGTCAGTAAACGAGCAGCGTGTACTCTGTTGGGTTAGAGTAGTAAATGCCTCTCAGCTGAATGCTTTTTTTCCTTCTTTGCACATTGCAGAGGTGGCAGAGGAGCTCTGCAAGACAGCATCCTCCGATCACAGCGGACCGCTGCAGTCTTTCAGTCATGACATGCCCCTGTTGCCTTCCAAATCTCGCCCACTCCACAAGCACACAGAAAACAAGGAAAACATCGAGGGTGGACTGGACGGCCGCACCGACCACTGCACGCACGGTCACTCAGGTACAGCCAGCCGTGCCCGTGTCACTACCAACCAGTCGGGTGCCTCACTTTATGATTCTGCAGGTACGTCGGAGGACGCCGATTCAGAGCGTCAGCTGCAGCGACGTCAGGCCCGCCGCCTCAAAAGAATGGCTGTCATTTTCCTCGACAGCTGATCGATCAACATCTGACATCTGTCATTCATTTGGCCGACCAGCAGCAAAAGCATGCATGCATTCATTGGTCAGCATATTTATGTCTAACTGCTTGATCAATTTTTCATAAGCACTTACTTTTTAAGTATGTTTTTTTT